AGGTACTGAGCTTTTGGAAGCAGCAATTTTTTTTTTTCTATGGTATGTGAGTTATGTACCTGTGTGTTGCAGACAAAACTCTTATGTCTCTGGGGCATCCTATAAGACTGATTACTACCCAGGTACCTTGCCTCTTTTCCAAGCTTGTACTCTGGCCAGCACATCTTCATAGAGTGCAATGTGTGACATAGTCTGTGGTACCCTGTCAGAGAGGCTTGGGTCAGGCCTGTCTGAGGTGCTGACATAGGTGGGAGATTGGAGGGAGGAGGGAAGTAAGTACATGCATGCAGAAGCTATGGTAACTGCACAGGGAATATTAGTCCAGGAGCTGCTGGCCCAGGAAATTGCTTTCTGTAGAAGCTTTCCTTTTTTATAGTTTGCAATGCATAGTTCATGATGCAAAATGAAAACATAAATGGGCATAAGAAAGCATTGGGGGGGGAGGGCAGGTGGGGTGCCATTTGAGATGTGGTAACATCCAGAATCTTACAGAAGAGAATTTCAAGTAATGAGAGAAAAACTTTTAAGACATTAAAATAATTTTAAGCATGTTTTACTGTGCGACTTCCCCCTCATCTTCTCTACATACTCATGTTCAGATTTGTCTCTGGGCCTGCTGTCTCCTCTTTTGCTCCTTCTTACAGCAAAGCCATAAACCAGCTTTTGGAACAATGGCCATGGGGTCATGGTGTATTATTTTGATTTTTACAGGAGGCCGAAAAACAGCAGCCCTATCTAAAGTCAGCGTGCTTTAGAAAATGTGAACACACTGGTCCTGGGGACTGTGGGCTGAAGAACATACATCTTGAAGTCAGGAGCTTGCCTGCTTTGAGAAGGTATTAAAGTCAAGGCTCTTCATTTTATACTTGCTCAGATCCTCTTGAGACCAGTGGGTAGGCTTGATGAAGCAGAGTGTAAGGCCCCTGGGCCTTTTTTCTCTCTTGATTTCTCGTGTTTCATCTGCCCCATCTAGACAGGTGTGACTTTCTTCCTCTAGGCTAGAAGCACTTATATGTCTATGTTGCCTCTAGATACTTTGGTGATATTGGCCATGAGGATAGATAGGGGGTGGCCACAGTTTTCATTACCTTGGCATAGCAAGTAATTAAGTGAGAAACTTCAAACTGGCTTCTTTTAATTGCTTAGCTAGACAGGAAGATACAAATAGAAGCCAGAAGGCAGTATGTGGAAGGAGAGCTTTTTAAGTATAAATATGCCTCAGTAGTAGAAACCCCTTTGCAATGAGGGCTTCTTCATCTCCTTTGTGTGAAGCTTCATTGCTCAAATGATGTGCATTGGATGAAGGAAAAGCTGAGTTGTGCAGGATAAAGTGAAATGTACCACTTTCTGCCTATAGTTACCATGAATGCCAACCCCCTTCCTTCTTCATTGATTGATTTTTTTTTTTTTTTTTTTTTTTTTGGATATAGGTCTTGCTCTATTGCTAGCTAGTGTGTAGTGACATCATCATAGCTCAGTGCAGCCTCAAACTTCTAGATTTAAGGGATCCTTCTAGCTTAGCCTCCTGAATAGCTGGGACTGTAGGTGTGCATTACCTTGCTTGGCTAATTTTTTTTTTTTTTAATAGAGACAGAGTCTTGCTCTGTTTCCCAGGCTGGTCTTGAACTCCTCAAGCAATCTTTCTACTTTAGCCTCCCAAAGTGTTGGGATTATAGGTGTGAGCCATTGTATCTGGCCTGATTGAAGAATTTTGAAAAAGAAATTAGCTTGAATCTTACCCAGGGTCAGTTCTGTGGTGCCTGGTCAGAACTCTGGACTCTCAGGAGTATAGACTCTCAATAGAGGCTGTCCAGGTTTAATCAGCCATTGCTTAGCACATGCTCCTTACCCTAGACTTACTTCATCCTGGCCTTCAGGTCAGGGTCCAACTCAGATGATGTGATGCACTCTTTCTCCTGAGGAATCCACTGATACAGGATGTTTCTCTTGCTATCTTTTGCCCTATTGCAATTGCAGCACCAGCTGTCCTGGCCAAGCCTGAATGAGGAGACTAAGTGCATGATTAGGGTGGGGTCCTATAGTAAATGACCCAAGAGAAGAGTCAACTGTATATGAGAGTGAGATTTGTAACATTTAGCAAAGGAGGAGGGACACATGTGTTAATACATTTGAAGTATTCTCCTTTGCTGCCTGTTTGACTCTTACTAGTTAGTACCCAGCATGAGGTGTGGCTGAGAATTTTTTTTAAAAATAGTGAAAAGGGCAGCACCTGTGACTCAAAGGAGTAGGGCGCCGGCCCCATATACCAGAGGTGGGGGGTCAAACCCAGCCCTGGCCAAAAACTGCAAAAAAAAAAAAAAATAGTGAAAAAGTATAGGCTATTTTAAGGATTCTTCTACTTGTTAGAAGTCTGCAGCCAGACTTTTTTTGCAGGCTAATAAAGTCTGGTTCAAGAATAGAAGAAACATTAGAGTTTAAAAATTGCAGTAGTTTATGAGTATCAGAATAAAACCAAGAATACCATTGGGCTTTTTGGATTTTTTTCTTTGTAATGGGATGGGGTTTTGCTCTGTTGCCCAGGATGGAGTGCAGGGGCATAATCATAAGCTTACTGCAGCCTTGAACTTCTAGAAGTGATCCCCTGCCTCAGTCTCCTAAGTAGCTAGGACTACAGGCATGTGTCACTGTACCTGGATAAGTTTAAAATTTTTTTGGTAGAAAGGGGGACTCCCTGTGTTGATCATGGTGGTCTCTTAACTCCTGGCCTCAGGCAATCCTACTGCCTTGGCCTCCCAGAGTGTTGGGATTATAGGTGTGAACCACCATGCCCAGCCCACCAAAACCTAGAAATTCCACTTCTAGGGATTTATCTTAAGGTAGTAACCATATAAATATGCAAGATATGTGCACAAAGACTTACATTAAGAACATATAAATATCCATTAACAGGGTTCTAATTAAACATATTATAGTACATTCACTTAGTAGAATACTATGTAGTCATCAAAAGGATGATACAGATGTATATTTATTAACTCTGAAAGATGTCATAACAAATACAGAATGAAAAAAGGTCATAAATAGTGAGATAGTTTATTTAAATATCTGCTCAGGGTTGTCTTTTATGTGATTTCTTTTGATATTTATTTTCTTTTTACTTCTTTGTATTTTTTTTTTTTTTTTGAGACAGAGTTTTACTATGTTGCTTGAGGTAGAGTACCTGGGGATCACAACTCACAGCAACCTCAAACTCTTGGGCTTAAGTGATTCTCTTGCCTCATCCTCCCAAGTGGCTAGGACTACAGATGCCTACCACAACCCCAGGTTACTTTTTTTTTGCTGCAGTTGTCATTGCTGTTTGGCAGGCCTGGGCTGGGCTCAAACCCGCCAGCCTCAATGTATGTGGCTGGCACCTTACTCCCTGAGCTAAGAGCACCAAGCCTTGCTTCTTTGTATTTAAATTTTTTCCTCAGGTCCCTTCAGCTGTTATGAAATTTTTTATAATGAGCCTATTTTATAATTAGAAAAAACATAAACCACATTTAAAAATCTTTTTTATGTATTAGACAACTATGGAGAAAATACCTTTTTTTCACCTAACATAATTATTAAAATTAAGGCTGCATGTACCTACATTTACTTTTTTTATTTTATAAAGCTTCCATACCATAAAGTTCACCCATTTTATTTACTTTTTTATTTTTTATTTTTTTATTTTTTGAGACATAGTCTTACTATGTGGCCCTGAATAGAGTGCCATGGCGTCATCACTCACAGCAACCTCAAACTCTTGGGCTTAAGTGATTCTCTAGCCTCAGCCTCCCAAGTAGCTGGGATTATAGGCACCTGCCACAACACCTGGCTATTTTTTGGTTGCAGTTGTCAATGTTTATATATTTATCTATTTATTTATTTATTTTATTGAGATGGAATCTCACTTTGTAGCCCTCAATAGAGTGCTGTGGCGTCATAGCTCACAGCAACCTCCAACTCTTGGGTTTAAGCGATTCTCTTGCCTCAGCCTCCCAAGTAACTGGGACTACAGGTGCCCGCCACAATGCTCAGCTTTTTTGTTTTTGGTAGAGATGGGGTCTCCCTCTGGCTCTGGCTCAGGCTGGTCTCGAACCTCTAAGCTCAGGGCAAACCACCCACCGCAGCCTCCCAGGCTGGTGCCCTAGCCACTGAGCTACAGGTGCCGAGCCACCATTTCATTTATTTTATTTGATATATTTTTTGAGACAGGGTCTCACTTTGTTGTCTGGGCTAGAGTTCAATGGCATCATCGTAGATCACTGCAACTAAAAACTCCTGGGCTCAAGCAATCCTCTTGTTTCCACCTCTCAAGTAGCTGGCACTACAGATGAACACCACCACACCCAGCTAATTTTTTTTCTTTTGTAGAGACATTTCTTGCTATTGTCCAGACTGGTCCTGGACTTCTAGTTTCAAGTGATTCTTCTGCCTCAGACTTCTAAAGTGCTAAGATTATAGGCATATGCCACTGTGCCAGGCCAAGTTAACTTATTTTATTTTATTATTTTTTTGAGACAGTCTCACTATGTTGCCCTCAGTAGAGTACCATGGTGTCACAGCTCACAGCAACCTCGAACTCTTGGGCTTAAGTGATTCTCTTACCTCAGCCTCTCAAGTAGCTGGGGCTATAGGCACCTACCACAACTCCTGGGTTTTTTTTTGTTGTTGTTGTAGTTGTCAGTGTTGTTTAGCTGGCCCGGGCTTGATTTGAACCCGCCAGCTTTAGTGTATGTGGCTGGTGCTGTAACCACTGAGCAATGAGCACCGAGCCGAGATAGCTTATTTTAAATGTAGAATTTAAGTGTGCAATTCCTTGATTTTTAGCAAATTTGTGGGGGTGTGCAACTATCATCACAATTCAGTTTTAGAATATTTCCATTACTCCCAGAGGACCTTCCTTATATTAGTTTTATGCTTGGTACTTTTAGGGGGAAAGAAATAAGTTAAAGTACTGGAATTTTTTTTTAAAGACAGGATGAACTCAGAAGCCTTTTTCTCTGCAATATACATCTCTGAGTGGATGTTTTATAGATAAATGTACTAAATGCTGCTGTGACCAAGATCACATGGGAAGTATGAAGCACAAGAAATTGTTTCTACCATCCAGGAGCTTATGATACTTATCCTGAAGCTCCCTTGAAGAAGGCTATTGCTTTCCTCCAATTTCCTATTAACAATCCCAACAGTCGGGAGCACTCTCATTGCCTATATACTAGAATAAATGGTTGTTTTGAATGTGCACATTGTTTTCCAACTGTACCTGATAAAACAGAGGGAGCCCTGGGTTTGAGAAAACTGAGTTCTATTTTATGGGACAGTCAGGTGGCAATGGCCAGAGACAGCCAGGAATGGTGGCCTGGAGCTCAGACTTGAGGTTGAGATGTGGAAGGCACCTTCATGGAGACAACAGTTGAAATAATGTGAGAGATTGGCATCAAAGGAAAACTCAGAGAAACAAAGACAATAGGACAAGGAAAAACAAAGAGGCAGAAGGTACAATAGGAGGCAAGAGGAAAATAGGAGACAAGAGGAAAACTAGGAGCCAAGAGAAGAGTAGGTCATTCAGCAGGAGTAGATAGTGGGCAAATGAGTATTTTTTTGGCAACTTACGTTAATTAGTCATTGCCTTGCTTGCTTTGCCGCCTCCCTATTCTAATTGATAGGTACCATTAATAGGTAAAAATGCATATACAGTTGATATTGACGCTTGGACCGGTGCATTTTGTTTTCAAACTATATTAAATTTGCATTTTTTCCTCTGGCTCTTGCTCTGTTTTCTGTTGTTCTACCCTAGGGTTACTTATTTTCCTTGAGGGATACCTACTTTGGAATTGGTAATTTT